TATTATAAAATGAGAAAATAAAGCCAAGCATAGCAGGACATACCTATACCTCCAGTACCGAGGAGGATATAGCAGGAGGGTCCTAAGTTCGAAGCCAGATTAACTATACAACAAGACTGCCTCAAAAATTAAACTAAACATGTTTATCTAATATTGAAAGTTCAGCTATAAATTGCATATCTATAAACATTGCATAATGGTATCAATTCCAACAGCATTCCCTTGGCATGTCTTTGATTGACACCTAAACTATCGAGCAAAATGCCTTTTCTTGTCCCCTTTCAGATGGATCTGGATTCGTCGTGAGTGCGTGTGACACTCACATGGGAGTGAACACAGGAAGTCAACCCTGGAAATGAGTGGGACAGCAACAGAAGCTAGCTTATGCTACGGTGTTAACATCCTTCTGAGGACTACCAAAATAAGGAAAGGGGACAGCACACCTCCTAGAGAAAAAAGTCCCTGACTTGGCCTTGGTATGCAGAAGGAAAGTGAATAAAAGCCCCAGCTCCTTTGAGAATCAGGACTGCTACTGCCTAACCATCACCATGGTATCTGCTCAAACGGAACACTTACTGGTGTGGTCTGCAAAACCTCAAAAGAGAATTCATTTCAAGTGGTCCGAAGGCCACCTTCCCTGGAATCCTTTCTTCACTCCTGATTTCACTGTTGTGGGAACCAAGCATTATGTCAAGCTGACAAAATAAATCCAGTTGTGATGGTAACAAACCACCACACACATGTGGCCTAAAGCCTGCAGGTTCCACTCACCAATAGGTGAGGAACTTAGACAAAACACAAAAAGGAAAGCTGATCTGCCTCTGGTGTCCCACAGCCTCCGCTGAAGACAACCCAGCCATCTGAAGCCCATGACACACAATGAGCATCAGAGATCCCTCCTCTGAAGAGCAGTGCCTAAGATGCTGGACACCCAATGATCAACAACCACAAGTGTTTATGTTTAAGCCTATGTACCTAACCTGCAGAGTCCAGGAAATAAGTGGATGATCCCAGCCACATCAAGAAAAAACAACCAAGACAGAACCTCTCCAGAATAACCAACCCTGCTCTGTGCCAAGGCACAAACGAGTTGGGGGCAGGGAGACGGAGGGAAAACAGTTCTAGATTTAAAAAGGCTCAAAATCCACATCCATTTATTAACTTTGTTTAAATTCCACTTGAAACAAATCAAAGGCATTCTGAGGACAACAGGGGATATCAGAACATGGCAAGTGTAATGGCAAAATTGTGGCTGTAGTGCAGAATGCCTAAAGTACATAACTATTGGGAGGAAATGTATCCCTGTGATTTAACTTTAAAATAAAGTAGGGATGGGAGACTGCAAAGCAAAAAGAGAAGAGGCAAACCAAGGAGGCAATTATGGCAAAGTGTCAATGGCATTATAACCCGGGTGACACCATGTGTGTACCTGTAACATCATTCTGCTTGTCTGCATATTAAGAATGTTTTGCAATTCACTAAATGAAACACAAGACAAAACAGGGCTCCAGATGACCAGTGTCCAGCAAGCAAAGCCTAACCAGCCCTTCAGAAGTAACGAAGCGAAATCCAGGAGTCAATAAAAACATCTTCAGAAAACAAGGGATTGAAAGAAAAAAAGCTCCTAGAATGAAAGAGAACAACAACAACACATTTTAAGTAGTATTCAAGAGGAAATATTTTAGTCTTATATTTTGCTTCAGGAGAGACAAAAAAAAAAAAACCCTCAAATGCACTAAGCATTTCACTATTCACTAGGCATGCACTATTTCACTTCAGAGTGAAAATAAACAAACTCCTTACCAGAGTTGCTTTGTAAAAGCTTATATGAACAAGAAAATAACTGAAAGAAAAAAAAGGGTTCTTAAGAACAGAAAAGGGCCTGGAGGAAGGGGAGAAGGAAAGAAAGGTACATATGGGAAAGGATGAGGAAGAGGACGAGAATGGGGAAAAGGCTAAAGACGGAGGAAGGGGAAAGGAGGATACTGGGGAGAAGTAGAGGATGGAGGAAGGGAAAGGAGATGGGGAGCGGAGAGAGGATACTAGGGTGGAGAGTGTGGAGAAAAAGGAAAGGAGCAAGGGGAGGGGTGGAGATGGAAGGGGAGGAAAGGAGGATAGAGGAAGGGGAAAGGAGGGTGCATACTGGGGAGAGGTAGAGGATGGAGAAAGGGGAAAGGAGGACGGGGCCAGGGTAGAGGATCAATGTGTGGTACAGAGAAACTGTCATGGTGAAACCCACCAATTTGTGTAATTAATATGAGTTAGTAAAAAATAGAAGGAAAGTATCAACACTGTATATATGTTAAGTTAATAGACATAACCTTTATGTTAATATAGTTGAAAACCTGGATAAAATTCCTATAACACAGAAATACATACATACAAAACTGATTCCAGAAGAAATTTGTAATTAGAAATCACAAAATAGTGGAAAATCGGGTTAAAAAATCAAGGGTGAGATAAAAGCTAAACCCTTCTAGCAAATGTCCAAAGAATAGATCATCCCAAACATTGCAAATTCTTCCAGAGAACAGAAAGGAACTAGTCTCCATTATATGAAGTTCTACAATACAAACACCAAAGTATCACAAGATAACTACACTTTAACCTAACTAGTGAACATTCATCCAAGGAAACTTAAACAAATGTTAGTAAATGGAATTAAGTAGTATATAAAAAGGCAATTTGTGATGAGGCTGTATTTATTCCAGACTTCAAGTTTCATTCATCTATTTATGAAACATGAATATGTTGTTTATACTACTACATATACTGGGGGGAACACATGACTGGAGTTTGAGCTAAGGGCCTCACACTTGCTAGGCAGGTGCTCTACCACTTGAGTCATACCACAGCTTTTCAGGTAGGGCCGTGCATGACTGTATGAAGCTGGCAGCTAAGAGGAGAAGCATACCGCGCCATGCTGGGCTTACTGACTGAGATGAGGCCCTGTGTACTTTTCGCACAGGATGGCCTTTGGCTCCAGAGCAGCTGGTATTACAGTTTTGGGCCACAGTATCCGGCCAGCATTCGGTACAATATTTTCATACAAGAGGGAGGGCTGACCACAGCAGCAGAAAACAAGTGACCATTATCTTAATAGACAATAAAAAGATAGAAACTTCAGCATCTATCATGAAAAAAACAACCTATCTTACCAAACTAGAAAAGGGAACTAGTCAGCCAGTGTATTTGATTCCAGTGCCCTACATCTATCTTGTTTACTCATTTTTCTAATTTGGGGAGGGGAAGGGAAATAACAAAATGCTGAAATAAGGACACAGGTTGACCCATTGTAACAATGAAATGTACAAGACACTACATTGAGAACCAACTTTATAACTTTGGGGGGGTAGTTGGGGAGGAAAGGAAGGGGGAGAAAAACAAACAAGAAGGTAAGAATGTTCGATAGGAAATGTACTCATTACCTTACTCATGTAACTGTAATCCCTTTGTACAGTATCTTTACAATAAAAAAAAATTAAAAAAAAGAAAAAAAGAACTAACTTGTAAGTCCAAAATGAGCATCCATAAAATAAAAAGAAAGCAAACATTGTATTTAATGTTGAAGGCTTTTAGCCTTCATTTTAATTAGGGTTAACCCACAGTCCTCACAAACAATGTATTTGCTGAAGGTGGTCTTCAGCAAGACAAAAAAAAAAAAAAAGAGTGAAGGTGGTGATACGTTTAAAAAAGTATTATTTTAAAAATGAGGATCCTAAGAAAATAAAAATTAATCTGCAAAGATGGCATATCTGCACACACCCCCAACAACAATGAAAAAAGGTAATTTTGAAAGGATACAATTTACATATCAACAAAAAAGAAACTACATAGGAATAATCATAACAAAAATTAAAGCACTTTCTTTGGAAGCATATAAAAGAAATGTGTAACAACCTTTTTAAAAATGGAGAAATGGGAGGGGACTGAAGCCACTTTCAAAGATACTGAAATGTTCACACATGTAGTAGAGCCGGCTCGATGGGGTAACTGGTGAAACTTGTATTCAGAGAGCAAGACTGTACATGATCTTGAATGTCTACCGTGGTTTGAACACGTTTTACTTAAAGTCACAAGTTCTCTTTAGAACTATAATCAAAGTCATGTGAGAAGAGACTCAAGGCAAACTCAAGAATATACTTAAGATTCTACTTCCTACTTCCCTCAAAGAGTGGCAGTCTCTAAAACAAAAAATGAAACTAAATCATTTTACCAAATACATATGTACTCTAGTATTTTTCTTAACCATAGAAGCAGAAGTATATGGCCCAATAAAATAAGAGTATTTAATGAGGCCAATTTAAATTAGAAACTCGTCTGGTATGGAAGTGATCAGAAGGATAAAGCAGGAAGATCAAGGGTTGAAGGTCAGCCTGAGCTAGATAACAAAACCCTGTTCCTAAATAAGTAAATATTTCTAGAAACTGGTTGATATGCTTCAAGCCGACAATCCCCCTTTGTATCTGGTACACTGTCTCTGAACTGACTGCCTCTTCCTGGTTTCAGCTTGTCAAAAGGCAACAATGTTTTCAGGCAGCACTTACTGTTAAAACAAAAATATAAAAGGTCAAGATAAAAATATCATCCATGTGCCAACTGGTAGGGTTAAATAATCTGTAAAGTGATTCCAATCATGCTTAACAAGGTGGCAGAGCACTGTCTTGAAAGATTTAGAACACAAATGACAGAAACGACTAAACGAATGGCACAAAACGAATGGCACTTTCTGCTGTCACCAAGCAGTAATGCAAGCAGCAGTTAAACTACTTGCTCTCCCTTCCCACTCTTCCCTCTCAAAAATGCAGAATTCTAGGGAAGAGATGGTGGGAGGGAGGGGTTAGACTAGTACAGCTTTGCATTTGGGAGGGAGGGCTTAGTGTGTGACTTTACATTTTTCTCAAAACCACACTTACTTTCCACCATCATTCAAAAGAGACAGCCTCAGAACAGAGACCCGGAGGAAGACACCGAGCCTGGGTGCCAGGGGCTGCACTCACCTGCTGTGGCTGGTACCTGGGCTGGGCCTGGGGCGGCAGGTACTGCGCCTGCGGGGGGAGGTGCGGGGGCTGTGGCTGCTGGCTGTAATATGGCTGTTGGCCTTGCTGGCAGTAACCACTCACACCTTGCTGTCCATACTGAGGTGGCATCTGTCAAGAAAGTCAAGCAAAAACAATGAGAACAGTCAAAACAATTGTACAATTGTCTTGTATAATTACAAGAATTCAAATATGGTTTCAACTCAGTTTCATGATAAGCAACAATATTTTAAATTCTATCTTCATTAGATAAATTGAAATGTCATCAATGAAGCCAAAGATAATTTGGCTTTGTCTGAAGAAACAATTATATTTTATAACACAGCAAATGTTGATATCATTAAAAAAATCTAAAAAAATAAACAAGCTCCTAATGCTGACATTTAAAAACACTGCCTCTGCTAAGGCAGAGAGAGGCATTATATCAAATCCACTCCCACACAACAGTGAAAATTAAAATGAATGTCCAAGGTGACTGGCATATTTTGTAGGATGCCTGTGGCCTGGGTACGTTATATGGTGCATACCTGTTCACAAGTTTAGAATAACTGAAGTTGGAACAGCCCAATTACATTTCTAACAGATACGAACCAGCTGCATTAGCAGCTCCATTTACTATTTTTTTGCTAAAAAGAAAACTCATTTCTTTGAGCATCAAACAAAATCCTTTGGCAACAATACTACTGATGTGATCACCATACCAGCATTGAGTTTTTGAAGGAAATATTTTCCTATCTAATAAATGGTAGTATTATTTCCTTAGTCAATACAACATACATACATATAACATATATATAAAGTATACTGAATTGTAAATAACAGCAAAATGGCCTAAATGAATCTTCTATCACTAACTTATATGAACCTAAAGATCATTTTCCCAAAGGAAAACCCCTCCTCATGAATATGTCATTGGTTGTATTTCTAGCTTTCATTTACACAAATTAATATTAATTAATATTTTTCTTTCTTTTAATGAAAAATGTTTGATTTTTTTTGATCCCAATTGAGAAAGCGTGGGAAAGAAAGAGACAAACTCTCAGGAGAGCGAAGAGCACTCCCATGCTGAGAATGGATACATCATCATTGCCTCGACCATGGCCCATGGACACGATCCACATGAGAGACAACTCCAGGAACTAAGTCCCCTACTCCACACACTGAAGAAATCACGTAGTGCCCAATTCTCTACACAATGTGAATGGGATATAGGAAGGAATAAAGAAAGGAGATACTAAGAATTATACTTCTGAGACAAATTAGTATAGTCATTCACAGCACATCTAATACACTAAAAGAAAAGTAATGTAAAAAGCTATGGTTCCTATTTCTTTCAACCCAATCCATACTATTTTCAAAACCTATCAGCAGTGATGACAAGAAATACGGACACAATGGCTCACAACGTGCCTCATCACATACAGCCTGGGCTGTTAAGAACAGACGGGTTTCCACTGAAAACCATTGAACAGCACAGTTGAAATCTTTGCTTTTATTTATTTTACAGTTTGATATCTCATAATGAATGTATGTCCCTGCCACAAGCTAAGCCAAAGAATTTCCATAAAATACAACTCCACATGCTAGAATACCATACACCACTAAAACACAAACCCTCCCGTTCAACACCCATATGTTTGATTTGATATCTAATACTATAATTCACACAAGCATCTCTGCAGTCTGAGTTGAAGCAGTGAGGATAACATGTCTGCCAGTGCGAAGATGACTGTAAGCTCAGCCAGCATAGCCAGCAACCTCCTCGGAGGTGCACTTCGATCTGTTGACTTTCTTGGTTTACAGAAACCCTTACACACGATATGGATGTGTTGTTCAGGGAGGAAGGCCCTATCTTCCAAACAAGAGAAGCAGCCAAACTGTGGGAACCTACTAACATCAGAGCAGCCAGACACTTACAAGACTTTGTACTGTATGCAGCAATGGGGGCGAGTGCTGGGCAGGAGGTTAGGTGTGAGCCTAAGCTGACCTCCATCGAGCCACAGGATTTACCAGCAGGAGCAAGGCCGAGTGCAGGGGGAAGCCGTCAAATGTGATCTGATGCTCCCTTAGATTCTTCTTCTAGTTCATGCCTTTGAGAGCAACCTGGCTGGCCTGGGCGGAGGAAACTCAACCATAGTGCACTGGGCTCTCCAGGAGACCCAGGATCAGTCTACAGTTCTGGACTGGGAGTCACACAGGTCAGGTTACCAATTTCTAGTGCAGATAAAGCATCTCTTGAGTATGTATGTATTCTACACCTTGGGAAACTGTTCTTCACTCAGCCCTAACCCAGCTCCACTGTACTTCCGTATGTGGCTGAGGCCTGAAAAGCCCATGTACGTTGTTAAAGCAAACAACAACCAGACCAGAGGAGGATCTTCACGGTTTTGTAGACCTATGTTGGCTACTGGGAGTTTGGGGTTCTCTCCTTGTTCGAAAGCACATTTGAGACAACTGAGATAACCAGGCCGTTGTGGGTTGTTATATTTAACCTAAGTTACTGAGCACCATTAGTACCAGGTGCTGAGAACCGGGGCTCCAAGCACTTCTCACACAGATGTCACCGTTTTCCTCACCAGACACGCCAACTGATGAGGAGGAAAACTACCTCTCCCTCATAGGAGGAAGAAAATTACCTATTTTATTTATCTGCACAAGGGACAGGATCTGAATCATATTTGCTGCCTGCATCCCCGGAATACCTCGAATTCAGGCCTCCTAGGACAGTCAGGACAGACTGGTTGAATACATTCATGTTGTTCAATGGATCACCAAAGCAGCTATTATTATATAAAATTAAAGAAAAAGCGTGTCATAAAATGTAAACCACTTGTGCCACACAAATCTGACACACATATGTTGAAAAGGAAGCAGCCTGGTGCCCGGACACTATCAACTAACCCTTCGCTCATTACTGCCCAGCAGTGCTTGGTGCTCTCTGTACCAATGAAATTAGAAGAGCAGTATTAACAAATTAAGCTACTTGGAAATCTCTGGAATGTGGCTGAGATAAAAACTTCTGCTTGCTATATTGAAACAAAAATCTGTTTCACTCATGTCTAAATAAAGGGATCTTTAAGTAATATGAGGATACAAAATAACAAAAAAATGCTACAATTCTTTAAAAATAGGAATGCTTCCAAACATTATCAGAGAAAGGAGGCTAAAAATGATCTGCTGCTTTATGTACTGTAGGAAACTAATATATATGTCCCAGTAAAACACACACACATTAACGTCCACACTTCGGTCACGTTAGGCATGATTCTATGCTACATTTTTTATTCTGCCATACCTTGAAATTTTGGCTCCTACTCCATTCATCAACATTTCCCTTCCCCCTGCCCCCGCCCACCAATTTTTCTTTCAAAGGAGTTTTCAAGAACAGTTTCCCAGTAAGTTAAAAGATGCCCTGAGCTCATTCCTCAGTGCTGCGCCTTGTAAGCATACTCTGAGCCTGTGAGCATCATCTCATTTAAGCATACTCTCACAATGCCAGGAAGGCTACTCTCCAAGCAGTGCTGTCTACAGTGCCCAGGACGAGGACACATATCTAACACTGGTGCAGAAGGTAAACAGGAAAAGTTAACTCTCCCGTAATGATATGATTAAGACTGTGTGTATAGTTATTATTATTACGTAGCTTTCTAGTGCATTTTAGTTCTTGTGTTTGAGTCTGTGGTCCATCACGAGTTAATATGGAATAAAGGATCCATGTTCATACTGCTGGAATGCCTCTTTTCTTGTTTTATGATTTTTTTTAATACTAGGTCTCGCTATACAGACAAAATCATTATTATTATTTTTTTTTGCTTATGTGGTGCTGAGGAATCGAACTCAGGGCCTCATGCATGCAAGGCAAGCACTCTACCACTGAGCCACCTTCCCAGCCCCAGACAAAACTATTTTTAAACTCCAAATCCTCTTACCTCAGCCTATATTGGTTCTGGGATTACAGGTATGTACCGCCATACCCGGCTCTATATAACTTATACACCAGCATCAGCTCCTTTTGTTTTAAAAAGTACCATTTGGCATTTACATTCAGGTACTATATTTAAAGAAAGAGAATAACTAATATTAAATTTATATGCACGAACTATACGATTGTTTCTGTGAGGCTCAACATCAGGCCAAGTTAATTTATTGTCATAGAAATCACAATAATGGTAATCAGATCTAGGGAAGACTGGAAAGAGACATGAGGTAACTTTCTAGTAGTGACAGGAATGTTCTATGACCTTAATTTGGGTGATGGTTTCATGGATGTGCAAATCAAGGCATAATGTTGTATGTAAATTATATCTTTACAATATTTGTATACTCTAAAGTTTACATAATGAATATTTAAAATGTTGACTTCCTGTTTTTTATAGTTGCATAATGTGTTTTAAGTTACCTATGCTTGAAGACAGTCAACACTTACATAACTCCTTACTCATTTATGTAGACATGAAGTTTCTGAAATTTGACAAGGTCTGTTCCTAGAGGGTTAACAGTACATTTTCCTTTGTTTTCAATTTACATAATCCAAAATATTACGGAGAAATTGAGAATATTAAAATTGAGAAGGTAAAATTAATCATAATATGTATATAAATAATATCCTCTGACTCAGAATTCTGCCTTTGGGAATTATTTTAAGAAAAATAAATATGAAGCAACTAAGCAAACATTTGTGCAGCAAAAGAGTTCAATTCTGCTCTGTTGAAAGTAAACAGCCTAAAACTCAATTTCTGTCGATAGGAAATTGACCAAAAAGGGTCACGAGTCCAAAAGGGATGGAAGGGTGCCAAAAAATATTAGAGCCATTGAACATATGACTATTGTGATGACTATAATAAAAAGTTCTGTGCATGGGTCATGGAGGTGAGACTTAACCAGTATTGATACATATAATGCTATTTTTGTCTGAAAATCAGTGTGTAGTATGCGGGACTATATATACTAATACGCTATCATTCCTTAAACTAACTAAAGTACTTTTCATGAATCTAGAACAAAATGCAATTTGTTTCAGGTTATGTATTACTGCTGTGTTTTAAGGGTTACGACAAAAAATATTCTATAACAATTTATCTTTACTGGCAGAAAGCAATGTAATTTTGTTT